GCGTCAGCATTGTTCTGAGGGCAACTTCTTTATTACTTCCTCTGCTTTAAAGTTGTATATAAGCAGGCTGAGAAATAGACTCGGGGGAGCTGGAGTCCTCCCGAAGCTATCCTATACCTCTATCTTTTCTTTCATGTCTCTGTTTCTTTCTATCTGTCTTTCCTTAATCGTCACTCCCCACTCAGGTGCTGTTTCCACTGTGCGGGCGGCAGGTACCGCCACCAGCTTTTCCATGGTGGAAGGAATCTGAACTCCACTCTTCAGGCTTGCACAGCAGGAACTTTACTAACCAAGGCTTCTCCCTTGCCCCTCTTTCCAACCTTTGGAAAGTCTAAAGTTGCTTCTAAATAACACACTGTTTTAAAGATGAACTAACTGTATAGGTCAAGTAATAAGGCAAATAACCTACCACTCATGAGGTTGAAGCAAGAAGGCTACAAATTCAGTCCACACTAAGTGGCACACTGTCTCTTGAGTGGTAGGAACACATGGACTACCACACTCAGCTTCATACAAGTAACTTTGAAGGGCTACTCGAAGGCCAGTAAAATGGCTCAGTAGGCGAAGGCACTTGCTGCCAAGTGTGATGATGGGAGTTCAACCCCCTAGACCTACATTGTGGGAGGTGAGAACAGACTCCCTCAGGTTGTCCGCTGGTTTCCACATGTGCACCACGCCATGAATATGCACACATAAATAAACAAATAGTAAAGTAATGATAAAAGTTAGCAAGCTGAGCATGGCAGCATGTAGCTGAAATACTAACACTGAGATAGGATCCTTCTATCACTTAGACCTTGAACTTCTGATCCTCCCTTCTAAGTAGAAGAAGGAGGATCAGCACTTCCAGGCCAGCATTGGCTAAAAACATTTCCAGCTGGAGGCCAGATTGGGTTATATGAGACATGGTCTTAAGTAATAAGCAAGTGGATCTAGAACCCAGTGTCATGTCCTATGCCTGTAATCTTACCACTTGGGAGAAAGACAGAGAAGTATCATAAGTTCAAGGCCAACCTGAGTTACATATCAAGTTCCAGGCCAGCCTGGACTATATAGTAAGAACCTGGCTCAACAAAACAAAACATTAGTTGAATATGGTAGCATGCGCCTTTAATACCAGCACTCGGGAGGCAGAGTTCAAGGCCAGTCTGGTCTATGTATAGAGCTTCAGGACTACTGAGAGAGACCCTGTCTCAAAACAATGACAAAAACAAAATCAAGGATTGATTTGTGAGGGGGTGGGGGTGGAGAAAGAGGTAGAGACATTACATACTAGTTGAGTGCATGTGCACTCACATGACCACACATGTACATACACCTACACACACATACACAAGCTAGACTGTTGGTACATGCCTATACTTGAGTTCTTTCCAAGGCCCTGCACATATGATCCCACTACTGCAAAAATAGATAAGTAAAAGTAAAATTTTAAAGTAGGGACAGTTAGATACACCGTGGTATATCCTACATTATGGAATAATATGGATCTGTGAAGATGAATGAAAATATCTAAGCCAGACTTGGTGGCAAATGCCTGTAACTCCAACACTTAAGAGGCAGAAGCAGGAAGATCCGAAGTTCAAGGTCATCCTCAGTTAAATATTGAATTTGAGGCCAGTTTGGGCTATAAGAAACTTATCTCAAAAAATAAATAAAACCTTGCCATGGTAGCCTCAGTTATTGAGTAGACACACCTGGGAAGAGGGAGCCTCAAAGAGTTGCCTTCACCAGACTGGCCTGTAGGCATGTCTGTAGGGTTTGTTCTTAACTGCTAATTGATGTAGGAGGACCTAGTGTCACTACTGTGGGTAATGCGACCCTGGGGTAGGTGGTTCCATTGTATAAGGAATGTAGAAAGCCAGAGAGGCAAAGCCGGGAAGCAGCCTTCATCTGTGGTCTCTGCTTCAGTTCCTGCCTCCAGGTATACCTTGGCTTCCTTCATTGATGGACGGTGAAGCGTAGGAAGAAATGAACCATTTCCTCCCCAGGTTAGTTCCGGTCATGGCGTGTATCACAGCAGTGGGGACTCAGTCCCTTGAGTGACCCTCCCACTGGCTCTCACAATAAAGACCAGCATTTCCGAGGGTCTAATTCTCCACCGTGGTGCTACCACCCTAAAGATTGCAGCCAGGGCTTGGTAAGATTAACCCCTTCTGGTCCCGATTAAAGGCAGCCAAGTTTTGCTGTAGGTCCAGTCTGCCTTGAGACAAAAGCAGCCTTGTCCCCAGCCATCTACCCTAGAAGGGTGTCCACATCACCCCTGACAGATAAGCAGGGCCAAAGCACTGGCAAGAGTCAAAGGTCACCTTCTAGAGCAGCTTCAGAGCTGCAAGTGGGCAACTGATCTTGTGGATTGGTCATTGGGTCTTAAGATGACAAACAGGCTGTAGAGACATTTGGAGAAGGTAAGGGGTGGCAGCCAGGGACTGGAGGTCAGATGTGACAACAACCAGAGCCTTGGTAGTGGAAGACCGCACCGTGTAGGTGGCAATGACCTTTATTTCTGAGACAGTACCGTGTGGATCGTAAGGGCCTGGGACTAGGAAAGCACCAATTGTAACAGGATTTAAAATCCACAGTGGCTGAAGACACAAAATAAAACTAAAATCATAAAAGGGACCATGAGAGCTGAAGGAGTCCGAACACCCAGAAAAGCTACTTTGGAGTTGCCCTAGCCCGGAGGTCTGCACTGAATTTTCATGTACACCCTCAACTATTTTGGTTGTTGTATGGTTTATTTTGAGAGATATTCCCCCTCTACTTTCTCTAAAATGTTGGCCCAGAACAGCAGGTTTCATTGAAGAAACCACATGTGTCTCCTTTTGGGGTGAGGATTCCAGGAAGACCACTGATGGATCTTTTTTTTTCCTCTATCATTTTGAACATATCAACCCACTGCCTTCTGGGGTCCTAGTTTTCTGTCTGGTGGGAAATTGGATGAAGATTTTATGGAGAAAATGTGACAAAGCCTATTCCTCTCAGCCCCATAGATGTTAGCCGCCTGCCCTGGAGCGTCCTGGGAAATAGAGCACTGTCCCAGCATGCCAGTATCAGTCAGAGGCTACAGTATTATTCTCCTCCATCTGAGTCTAATAAAAAGGAACCAGTTGCTTTGAGTATGGATGTGATGGGCTCTGTAAACCAAGAGTTATCACAGCATGGTAGGGTCCATGTAAAGTGAACTATGTTATCCACATACTATTAGATGAATGTCCGTGTGGGCCAGTTAGGTTATGCCAACTTGACACAAGCTAGAGCAATCTGAGGAAGAAGGAACTTAATTGTCTTATAGGTAAGTCTGTGGGGAATTTTGATTAATGATTCAGGTCCTGGACTGGAGGTCGTGGCTGTATATTAAAAAAGAGGCTTAAAAAGAGACAAGGAGAGCAAGCCAGTATCTTCTTTGGTTCCTGACTCAAGATTCCTGTCTTCAGTTCCTGCCCTGCTTACACTCATGGTAGATAATCTTTTCATCTTTGGGGAGAGGTGGTGGGTAGCAGGACCTTCATGGTCCAACAGCAAGGCCCTTCAGTCTCCTTCCTGGATTTCCCAGGTCTTGATGATGAGGGAGGGCCTATCCTCTGTGACTTTCAGAAACCTAATACCTGATAGAGAACTGGCAAGTAGGACTTCAGTGCCATTGCTGGACAGTACCCATGTCTCCCTTTCATTGTGTGATGATTTAGTCTGCTAGAATTGCTAGCCAGTGCTTAAGTGTGGAATGTGTAAACATGTGATGCCTTCAGGTGGTGTGAACGTTTTCTTGACAGAAAACATCCTTCTTGACCTCTCATAAACTTCCATCCAGTTTCTTTGGCTCATGTCACATAGCTGGTTCTGGGTGGGTCCTGTGAGGTCCATCTAATGTGCAGAACCAATGACTTCTGATGGGAGGTGACAGCAGCGTAGCTTCAAGAACATGGAAAAGGCTGCCCACAGCCCTCCCACCTCAGTTGCTGATGTCACACTCACTGGGTCCATGTCCTGTGTCTCACAGCAAACGATATTTCTGAAGCAGTGGGAACCTCCATCACGTACAAAACAAAAGCAGTCCTTGCTCTTCTCTTTGCTTTTGCTTTTTGGTTTGGTGAGACAGGGTCTCCTGTAGCACAGGCTAGCCTCAAGACTACTGTGGAGCCAAAGACAACTTCAACTGCTATTTCTCCTGCCTCCACTCTCCTAGCTTTAATAATTGCCATGTGCTCACCTTTATGAGACTTGGTTTGTTTCTCTGTCAGTTTAGTGGCCTTGCCTGAATCTACTGATATTTTAACTACCATTGGTGGACCGAGGCCCCAGAGGCAACACCCCAACATACAGATTGAGGCCTAGCGGGATTTCTGGTCCCACTGGTACCAGCTCGGCTACAGCCGCCAAATGTAAGTTTTAACTAAGGCTCTATTGTTCTATTTACCAATAAGGACTTGGGGGAGACTGCTACCATCACCAGGAGAAACCCAGGAGAGCCATGCAGTCAGGCCTTGACCTCAACCTGGCAGATCGTCACACTTTCCCTGTGTCCTTAGGGAGAGCTACCCAGCCTGCTCCCCCCACCTTCACCTTGCCATCTAAGACCAAGGAGAGAGATGAGAAGAATGCCAGGCAGGGTGGCACAAGGCACAGCATGCCTGCCGCCCTGTGCTGCCAGCCAAAGAGGATGCACCCTCCCTATCTAGCCCACCTGTTCTATCCTGTGACTGATTTCTTCACAAGCAGCACCCTGGAAAGCACTGAGTATTTCGCACAGTCCGAGATCGGGTTATTCGGTGGTCACTTGGGCAGGGTCCAGCCACCTCTCTTTCTGGACACCTCATCTCTTAGGCCACAACCGAGTGAGACTCCAGGTGACACAGACAACAACTTGTCCTCCTGCAGCCCACAAGAGGAACTCTGGAACTCCCAGGAGGTATCTCAGTATTTAAACCCCACAGGCTCCTCCCTTTGGGATACATTGCAGGAAGAGACCATCACCTAGGGTACCACCTTGACCTAGGAAGGGATCATCATGAAGGTAGAGGCCATCATTCAGGATGAAACCATCACCCCAGAAACCACCATGATGACCCAGGTTGAGACCATCACACAGGAAGAGGCTACATTCTGGATGTGGCCATGACCCAGGAAGTGGCCATCACACATGGCCAGCCCCAGGATGCAGGCCCAGCTTCTTCCCAAACCCGGAGGCACCAGAGCTGGAAGGGGGTCAAGAAAACAATTATGAACTGCCTCAGAAACCTCTGTTGCTGCTGCCTGCCTCCTGCAGAGAGAGGCCATGCCTCCTGCAAGAACCTGGCTCCAAAGGGAAGGGATCATGGAGTCACCCCCAGAACCAGGTGGGTGCACTTCCTTCATTTTATTTGTGCTTCTCCTCCTGTCCCTTGTGATAAATGATGCCTGTGCCCACTCATGGCACACTTGTGAATCTAACAACCTGTCACTTTAGAGAGCTCAATCCCAGAGAATCCCCTCAAGTGTGACCTCAGACTTGTTGAGCTACAAGTGGACACAAAGATGCTGATAGGAGCAGGGAGAGCAGGAGGCGGGGCAAGGCCAAAGGAGGCAAAGATCCCATGGAGGAGCAGTGGGGAGCTTAGGCACTGCAGGGCCAGCCCAGTAAGTCCTGTGTGTTCCAAAGCCACTAAGAGTCTCCTTCCTGTGTCTTTCTATTTTGAAGTCCTGAAGAGGTCAAGCCCCAGCTCCTTGGCTTGTGAGCCACAGGTTGGGGACTGGTCTGGCTGAGAATCAGACAGCCCCACGGGGAGCCAGGCCAGATGTCCAGGAGACAGTGTGGAGACAGTTTCCTCCTGCAGAGGAAGAGCTGTCCACCCCAGCGCAGATCTCTCCAGGTAAAATCCCAGACAGGAAGGACAGGCTTTCCACAGGGTCTTGCTCAGAGGGGAGGGCTGAGGTGCAAAGGGGTCTTAAATTGTCTCGTGGAAAAATAGCTTTTGCTCTCTTCCCCTGTCTGGCTAAACATCAGAGATTGCCCTCTGGGTAGTGACTCTCCTTTGCTCCCTGTTTCTGGGCAGAGAACAGGGTGTTCTTCATGAGGTGAGACTTCTCTCCCCAGAGAGAGTATTTCTAGTCAGCTTGTCCTCCCTGCCCCAAAATGGGTTCCCAGGTTGAGGATGTGGCCAGCAAGCAGCCCTGTAAGACTCCTCTAGAGGGCAGCCTCCTGCCAACCTTTTGCAAGAACCTTCAAAAGTCATCACAGCAAGGTACATTGCTTGAGTCCTCAGACCCAACTCAGAGCAAAGCTTGGGACAATCTCTACTGGGGAGTGACTCCAGGGACGGGTGAGTCTTCTCTCTCCACCAATTCTGCCCTCTAGTTACTCACCTGCTGCCTCTCCATGCTTGCTCCTTCAAGGCCACCATTCCCATTGGGAACTGGATTCCACACTCACCCCCAATGCCACACCATGAGGCAGTGATAGGTGTTGTGATATGGATCGAACCAGAAACCCTTATGAGGGGGCAGCAACCTGCTGTGGGCCCTGCCTCTTGCCAGCCCAAGTCTGCACTCAGAGGGCCATGTCCCTAAGGTGCTTGTTCTTGCACAGGTAAGCAGGCTTTTGTGCATCTGTTGGGGGAGCTTCTGGGAAGCCTCCCCTGTCCATCCCACAGTCACATTGGTAAGGTCTCATCTCCTGTGTTGTTTCTCCTTAGACGGTGCCAACATGCCACAGCAAATACACAGAAGAGTCTGTGTGACTGATGTGGACGGTACATCGATCTATGTGTCTCCATGTGACTTGAAAACAATGGTCCTGGGACCATAATCATGCTATGCTGGCTTGTGTGTCCAACAGGTGTCTTGATAGTGTTCCAGCACGAGGAGAACACATCTGTAGGTCTTATCTTCTTGAAATAGAAACATGAAATTAAAACCAACCAACCAAAAAAACACACATAAAACCTTGAACGACCCACCCTAATAATAACAGTCTCACAGAAGCATGCTAAAGGAACACATTCCACCTACAACCAAAGATGGAAATTGGCTTTCATTCCCTGACAGGTGTATTAAGGTGTCACATGCACAAGTCCATTTTATTTTCTGACATTTGGTCTGTCTACTTTGGTCAACAGGAATAGTACTGCTACAAACTGGTTTCATCTGCTGGTTTTAGTGTTCACACAGAGTATTGCCCTATAACTCGGGCTGGACTGAATTCAGTATGTAGTCCAGACTGGCTTTAAATTCCTGAGGGTCCTGCTGCCTCAGTGTCTCTTAGGTGCACTGGAACACTGGAACACTGTTAGCATTTGTGTATGCAGCTCCATGTCCATGCCCAGACCTGTAGCTGATGACTCTATGGGATAGAGCCTCACCCCCACCTCTTCAAGGTTTAGTCCCCTCACCCCTCGGGAGATCTCATGCCCCTCACATTTAGCCAGTTCTAGGGAGTTTGTGCATTTTTCTTAAGACTAGATGCTACAGCCAGGGTGAAGGTGTATGTTTATAATTCCAGGACTCTGGAGGCTTAGTCAGGAGACTACCCATAAATTCAAGGCCAGCCTGGGCTATTAAGGAGCAGTAGTCTAGCTTTGGTGGCACTGTGAGATCTCTCTCTCTCTCTAAAACATAGAAAGTGAACAACAGGACTAGTGTTCCGTGTGCCTTGCATGCACACTGGTTCTTGGCCCTGAGTACTTGCCCAGCAGAAAATAAAACCAGGTGGAGCATGCTGGGAATCCCAGTATTGGAGGGTGGAGACAAGAGGATCAGGTGGTCAAGGTCATCTTCCAACATGGAGAGTTGGAGGTCAGTCTAGGAGGAATGGCACTAATTTAAAAGCAAACAACCCCTACCCCAAATCTTAATGCCCAAATCTGAGAAAACAGTGGCATGGCAGCCCATAACAACCACATATTCCGTATGAATCAGCCCTTTCCGATAGAGAGAAGAAAGTCGAGCATCTGGATGTGCAGTAATTTTTTTTTCCCTGTGACTCACATCTGGAATTGGCCTGAGCATTGAGTTCATCCCTGTGCACACGACACTGAAGAGTTCAATAAGTACTTCTAATGCTGGCCCTGTGGGAGGCACTGGGGAGCTCTGTGAGTAGTGCTCCCTGGTGATCCTGTGGGAGGCAGTCTGGAGGAAGGTTTGGAGAGCATAAGAAAGGCAGGGATGCTGCTGGTCCTGCAACCTGTCAGAAACTCTGGTGTTGTGCTGCCCCCTTGTGGCACTTCTATGCCAGTTCCCTGTTAGAGCACCTGGTTGGCTGAGGTCCTTGCTTCACCTGGTGCCAACCACTGGGGTGGTTGGGTGGGTTTGTGGGTGGGGTGGGGGAAGGCTTGCTCGGCTATACCCATCTAACATGATTTTGTCCTTCCTTCCTTTCATTCCTTTTCCCCATTATCATAATAAAGGAACACAATACCCTTCATAGCTCTGCTGACCAGGAGATGGCCTTGAAGAAATTGCATACACACTGCTGTTCCTAACTCTGTTGTTCATAAGGCTAGACGACTGGGCAGCGAGTCAAGAGTGTGAAATCGACACTCTGGGCCAGAATCAGAAGCACAAGAGGACTGGGACACTGAATGTCTGTTTTTACATTACCTGCTTTCCTTGTGAGATAGGAGTTCATTCCCCAGGGTGCAAGAAAAAGAGTGAGCAGGCTTGCTGAATCTTGTCACCCCAGCACTTGGAGATGGACAGAGGTGCATCTCCTTTTTTGTTTGGTTTTGCTGTTGTGATTTATGTTTTTTTTTTTTTCCAAGACAGGGTTTCTTTGTGTGGCACTGGCTCTGTAGACCAGGCTGGCCTTGAACTCACAGATATCTGCCTTCCTCTGCTTCCCGAGTGCTGGAATCAAAGGCACACTCCACCACCATCTCCATCTGATGAAGGTGCATTAATCTTGCTGGCCTTGAGAAAGCCTGTGTCCAAAACACAATGTGTACAGCATCTGTGAATTGACATTTGAGGGAATACATGTGCTATATACCTACAAGTTTGAGCATACATGTGTATGTATTCAAGGACACACATACAAGCACACAAGTGTAAATATATAATGTGTGAGTGATCTGCACACGCACTGAAGTAAAAATAGTGATAAAGAAGCACAAAGTTACTTGCAGAACCAGGTAGCTTTTTGGAAGACCTGACCTGTGCAGGAGCATCCTAGTCAGCAAGACCTAGGAGAATGAGACAGGGTGATGCTGCTGAGAACACTGGGGTGTTCCTCTCTGTCTTTGAGGAAAGCAGGCAATGTAAAAACAGACAATCACTATCCTGGTCCTCTTGTGCTTCTGAATCTGGCCCAGAGTGTTGATTTCACACTCTTGACTCACTGCCCAGTCGTCTAGCCTTATAAACAACACAGCCTGGAACAGCAGTGTGTGTCTATGCAATTTCTTCAAGGCCATCTCCTGGTCAGCAGAGCTATGAAGGGTATTTTGTTCCTTTATTATGATAATGGGGAAAAGGAATGAAAGAAGGAAGGACAAAATCATGTTAGATGGGT